TTATTTTTGTTTGTCTCAAACAAAAAGCATTTCAACCAAGTCCAAACACACTATCCAGTATCCAAACTTGTCTTCGGCCAACAGACCCATCCTACATAGTGCCGACTGCCTGTGCCAAAGCCTCCAAATTGATCAGAAAGTCAGGATTCTACTCTGGAACTTGTTCTAAGTCAGCACGCTAAAGTACCTGAAGATAGTGACCCAAGTTATGAACCGTCAACTTCAAAAGAACTACACTTATTGATACAAACTGATTTAAACGATTTAGTACGTGATTTGAATCTAAAAAACAGGCTGAGCTTTTGGGGTCTAGATCAGTGGTCGCCAACCTGTCGATCGCGAGCTACCGGTAGCTCGCGGAGGCAATCCTGGTAGCTCTCACAACGATTTTAATTTAAAAAATACAAACTGCAAAAATCAGAGAAGCTTCCGAAAATTCCACAAAAAAATCTAATTGTCATAATATTAAACATAAACAGCGGCAACGTTGCGGGGAGTGATCTGACGCTTACGCCATCAAGCTAGAATCGGCTAGAACCGACCAGCCGGACCAGCGCGTTAGTGTTCGAGAACGATCAGGATTGCTTTGAACGGGATAAATACGCACGGCGCGGCGACATTGCGCTTAGTTTAAAACTGAACGCGTAACGAACGTCCAGCGGTTGGGTTAGTAGAGAACAACAAAAAATAATATTATGGCAAGCAGTTGTAAGAGGTAAAGACATACCACTTTCATTCGGAATGGGAAGAACAATACTTTTTTACAGAAATTAAAGATAAAAATGTGTGTTTGTTATGTAATACTTCGGTCTCGTTGCTAAAAAAGGAAATATTGAGAGACATCATAAAACTGTACATTCTAATTTTGAAAAATCATTCCCACTACATTCTTCCGCCTGAAAGGAGAAACTGAAACAGTTAAAAAAGCAGTTAATTGGACAACAATCAATATTTTTAAGAAGAGTCGATAAAAATAAGGCTGCAACTGAAGCATTGTACCGTGTGTCCCAGATAATTGCACAAAAAAAGAAACCTTATGAAGAAGGGGAAATGATAAAACAGGCGTTTTTAGAAGCTGCTGATTCGTTATTTGCTAACTTTAGAAATAAAGACGAGATAGTTACAGCTATAAAATCTATGCAACTTTCTGCTAATACAGTGATGAGACGTGTAGAAGTAATGAGCAATTATATTTTTTTACAGTTAAGAACTGACTTAGATAACTGTGTTTATTTTTCACTTCAACTGGACGAATCAACAGATGTCGTTGACACTGCCCAGATGGCTGTGTTCGTCAGGATGGTTTTTAGTGATTTTACGATTAAAGAAGAGCTTTTGAAGTTTATTCCACTGAAAGGACACACTACTGGACAGGAGTTGTTTTCTCATTTAAAAAATATTATTTCTTCCGAGAAAATTCCAATATCGAAAATGTTAAGCTTGACAACTGATGGCGCTCCAGCTATAGTGGGTTGTGATAAGGGTCTGGTGGCGTTATGTCGTAAAGATGAAACTTTTCCGCAATTTCTCTGTTACCACTGCATTATCCATCAGCAAGCATTATGTGGAAATTTCCTGAAACTAAACAACGTTATGAAACTGGTGGTAAAAATTGTGAACAAGATTAGAGCTCAAGCGTTACAAAGAAGATTATTCAAAACCTTGGTCGATGAAGTTAAGTGTCAATACGGGGACCTACTCCTTCACTCTGAAGTCATATGGTTAAGTAGGGAACGGGTGCTGAAACGTTTTAATGATGTCCTATCTGGCATAGTTCAATTTTTCAAACAACGCGATGAACCGACTCCGGAACTAAAAAATTCAATCTGGCTTAGAGATTTTGGTTTTCTCGTGGACATTACAGAGAAATTAACTTAACTTGCAGCTTCAGGGGAGAGACAAAGAACTAGCGGAAATGATTTCTGATATAAAAGCATTTATCAAAAAGCTGGAGTTTTGGGAACAAAACCTAATTAACAGCGATGCCAAGCATTTTCCTATTCTTTCAGAAAAAATATCTCAAAATCCATTAGAACCCTATGACAGCAAATATCATGTAGAAATAGTTTCTACCCTGAAGAATAACTTCAAAAATCGTTTCAAGGATTTCAACGAAATGGCTTTAGTATTGCAGTTTGTTGTTTCACCCTTTATGGAAATTGATATCCAACAGTTTGCAACTTGTGTTATGCAGAACTTTGGCGAAGACATCGCTGCAACAGAAATGGAAGTAATTGAGTTTCAAAATGATTTAGCCTTAAAATCGTTAGTCTTAAGTACCAAATGTATCTGGCCTATTGTAAGTAAAGACAAATATTCAGTTCTATGCTGTGTTGCCTTGAAAGTGAAAGCATTATTCAGTTCAATCTATTTGTGTGAATCTTCTTTTTCCAATATGAAGTTTATTAAGAATAAATATCGCAATCGATTTATAGATGAACATTTGAATAATTGTATTTGAATGGCTGTATCAAATTATACTGCAAACATTAAAAAAATTATCGATGAGTCTGAGTGTCAGCCTTCTCATTGAACGTGCTTTTTTATTTTTCAATGCTTATGTCCATGATAGTGCGTTACTTTTTTGTTGTTATTATTAACTATTTTTAAATCTTACGTGACATGCCGTTGTGGCTGGATAAAAGTTTGTGTTTATTTTTCAAAAACCTTCGTTTGGTAGGTAGGAATGTAGCTATGAACAAGTACGTACTAGTAATATTAATTATTTTGTTATTAGTTTATTATTAGTACCTATGTATTATGTATTACCAATTAAATAGTAAAATAAATACATATAATGATAAATTAACTGTGGATTATTTTATTTACGTTGCGTTACGTGGCTTCCGTGTGGGTAGCTCGCTGTTTATTCCAAAATTAATAAAGTAGCTCAACACATTGAGAGGTTGGCGACTACTGGTCTAGATTAACGACTGGATATTACTTTATCCTGATACGAAAATTTCTTATTTTCGACATCGTGACGATGAAATAAAACTTTACTTTTCCAAAGCAGGTGATTTAGTCTATTGTAATAACGTTCCTGTTTTGATGAATTTATTAAATTTGGAAAATGATACAAATCACTGGCGATTGTTCATTGACTCTTCAAGAACTAGTTTGAAAGCAGTGTTGCTGCTTAACAGAAATAAACTTCCTTCAGTGCCGATTGCTCATGGTTCTGATATGAAAGAAATTTACGAAAATATGAGATTTCTTCTTGAAAAAATTGAATACAGTAAACACGCTTGGAAAATTTGTGGCGATTTTAAAGTCATTGCATTATTGCTTGGGCTACAGCTTGGTGACACAAAATGTTGCTGCTTCATTTGCGAATGAGACAGTAGGGACAGAAATCACTATACAAAGAAAGTCCAAGCGTAAATCACTCACTCCAGGCCATAAAAATGTTAAAAATTATCCTTTAGTGAACCCTGATGACATTCTTTTACCACCGTTGCCCATAAAGCTCGGGCTGATAAAAATTTTTGTATAAGCTATGCTTAAAGATGGCAGTGGATTTGTATATCTGAAAGAGAAATTCCCCAAACACAAATACGGCTAAGAGGTTTGAAGAAAACCTGAATGATCAGGAAAAACTCGCCTGGAAATGTTTTGTAAACGTTGTCCAAAATTTTCTAGAAAACCATAAGTCGGAAATTTAAAAAGACTTAATTAGTGAACTTATAATGTCATTTAAAGCTTTGGGGTGTAATATGTCCTTAAAATACATATGCTGGACTATTAAGGAAACTGAAGCTAGCGCCTAAAATTAGGAGCTGGACATAATCAAGTTCAGGGACGAAATAGGTAGGGGTTCCTAGGGCGCTTTTTTTTGACAGAGATGGCGTTGGCATGTTAAATATGAAAACTAATATTTTCATTGGAATGGTTATTTCAATTTCCATAATTTTGAAGTGTGGATTTAAATTACTAATATGCCTGATTACATAATTGATCACAATTGATATTCTAAATTATAATGTTAAATACCTTTACTTGAGATGAAAGCATCAATTATTGACACCTTATTTTTTTATATATAGGGGAGAGGGGGGTAAATTGAGCCAAAAAAAATTTAATAATTTTTTTTTGCCTAATTTCTGAAAAATAACAACTTTTTTTTCACATTATCGTAAAGTAATATTCACTTTAACATTCCCCATAAATTATTCAATTATTAAATAATGATATTTTTTTCAACATACATGTTTGTCCAACCGCTTATAATAGTGATAAGTAATCAACAAATTCGCGAACACCTACAATTCGCAGTTCAGATTAAAGAGGAGACTAAATTTTATAATCACAAAATTATTTTACCGCCCAATTATTTTGCAAACCGGAAAAATTTTAATTTTTTTAATTTTTTTTGCGCTTATTATTGTAATAAGTAATCAAGAAATTCGCGAACACCTTCAATTCGCGGTTCAGATGACAGGGGAGACTACATTTTATAATAACAAAATTATTTTACCGCCCAATTATTTTGCAAACCGGAAAAATTTAAATTTTTTCATTTTTTTTTGTGCTTATAAGGCGCTAGCTTCAGTTTCCTGGACTATTATCTGGATTTTTTTCCGGCAAATTTGGGTGCTGTGAGTTACGAACAAGGCGAGAGGTTCCATCTGGACATTTCCTTAATAGAGAAGCGCTATCAAGGGAAATGGAATCGAGGAATGCTAGCAGATTATTGTTAGAAACTTAAAAAAGACCTTCCAGAAGCCAAATATTCACGAAAACCAAGTATTTATTCTATTCTAAGTAATAATTTCTCTAAATGTAGCTGAAGTTTGTACTTTTTACGAAAATATATGCCACAAGAAAACCTGACGTGTCAATTTTTTTTCATTCACATATTATTGTTTGGTGGCCCTAGTACATTCAAAATTCGATATAAGTTTTCATGTGACATAAAATAGTTAAAATTTTGTTAACCAGTGATATATGTTGTTTTTAACACGCAAAAAAAATAAAATATTTTTAAATAGATTTTATTTGTTTTTTTACGATAACGGTTTTTATTTTTAGTTACTTTTAAATACATTAATAGGAAACACTTATAATAGATGGTAACCTGGTGCCGGATTCCGATTAAAATTAACTTGACTTCCAGCACCGGTTTCCCGTAAGTCACTACCTAAAAATATCACACTTTTTTCCATTGTTCTTTTAGAAAGTCGCCTAGTTTTTCTCCAATCATTATACACGGTGCATTCGTATGAGCTGATAACGGAAGAGGTATAATACTCCCATCGGCTACTCTCAATTTTTCTATACCGTACACTCTTAATTTATTATCTACAACGGCATCTGGATCTGTTGTTGGACCCATTTTGCATGTAGAGATTTGGTGATGGACGCTGACTGTCGCACTTCTCAAGACGCATTCCCAGTAGTTATCAGAGTCGTATTCCAAATCTTTGCATCCTAAAATTAACACAAGTATTAGAAATTAAATATTAAAAAAACCGACTTCAAAAACGTGCAGATGCCATTACCACATCTTAACCAAATTTATATAGGACCACCCCTGAAGTACCCCCTTTTTAACAAAAAAAGAATCATTGAAATCGGACACCGTGTTAAAGAATTATCGCTAAACATACATAAAAAAAAATATTGCGACGAATTGAGAACCTCCGCCTTTTTTGAAGTCTGTTAAAAAATATGACAGATAAAAAAAGGGAAAAGAAACTTATTTAGTTTACCTGGAAAAGGTTTATCGTACTCCTTAGCTCCTAACTTCTGCATAGCCTGCGTTTTGGCATGTCTCTGACCATACCTCACTCCTCTAATCATTGTCTTCATATCGTGCCCCTCAGGGTCCGAATAGTAGTTTCCATACAACTTTGGTGTATCGAATGGATCGGCCGATCTAAGTTCCATATAACCTTTAGATTTGGGATGTAATAACATTGGTAACATATTGTAACTTGGAACTCCCACCAGTGGATGAAAGTATTCTTTATATATGTCTTTCCTTACACGGAGTTCTGTCCGCGACACTAGCCCTCCATCAAAGTTCATACCACCCAAACCTGCAAACAACCATTAATAATATATTTAGAATACTTCTATCACAATAGATTCACTCTGTCAGTACTTTTGATATTTTAAAGAAAGATTTTTAAAATACAAATATAATAAAAAGCATTTTCTTTATAGTAGATTCGTGATCGAGCTGGAGTAATAAATCTATCAGATCAGGAAATTTCAGGTGTGGGTGCCTATTTTATTATTTGCGGGGATTAAATCATCATTTAAAAATATATATATATATTTTTTGAATATATATTATTGAGTATTATTTCGGTATGTAGATAGGTACTTTACAAAATGTTTTTCGAGTTATTTGCAATTGAAGGGCTCGGCGAAAGAGGGTATTAAGCCACTCCAAATTAGTTCGGAGTAATTCACATTTACAAAGGAAACAAGTAAATTTTATTTCAGTTTAATACATACCAACATACCAGTTTATTTTACAGACTAATAACTAAAGAAAATATCCTAGATCAAGAAAAATAAATAAAAATATAACAAAAAATGTGTCTTATTACCATTTTAAACTCAAATTTATTTGTAAACTTAACTTAGTCAATCGAAATTCAAACATCATCTGAGAAATCATCATTGTCATCGAAATGTTTTACATTGTCTTCTTCTATATCTCCACTGCTGAGTTGTACGTTTTCTACACCGAGTTCTCTATAAAATTCGTGGTAAACTGGAGGTACATAAGGAAAGAGTGCTTTGAGATTGGCAAGTTTCTTTGGATTGATTGCCATGAAACTGTTATACTTCAAGGGAAGCTCGCTACACGTTGGGAATTGTGACGTTTGTATACCTCTTTTTCCAATACTAACGGATTAAAATGACTCATTCAAATAGTGTTTTACAAACACTCTATTAGGATGTTGTTTCAAAACGAAAACATCTAACTTGACTAAAATGTAAACGTTCTTTGGTATCTGTCAAATTTTTTTTGTTGATACAGTTTTGCAAATTAGAAAAACAATAAAAATATGCCTGAGTCATCGGTTCAACTTCAAACGGATTTTTTCTTTTTTGCATCTCTAACAGCTTCGTACCATTGATCTGGACTGTAAATCTGCTTCAAATATTTCTTAAGCTTTTCGATAGCTGCAAAATCTCTATCTGGTGGTAAAAGGGTATGACCCGGTATGAGAAATCGATATTCGATGCTCTTAAACTTTTGTTCTCGTATCATCTGCAACCAAAGAGACATGATTGTCCAGTTTTTATTTTGTCCCCCGCAATTATCAGTAAATACTAAAAGTTCTACTGTTTGGGAGGACGTGTCATTTTTTTCCCCTGGGCTCGTCTGACTATGTTTTTGAATAACACTGAAGCCTATTGGCTTATTGTGTTTTACACCATGTGTTCATTGCACCCACTCTGTCACCTTTGTACCTTGTACAAGTTTGTACAGATCCTTGAGTAAGACGGTTCTATACGTTGTTGGATCAATCTGGGGTTGACCAAAAAGAGCCTGTCTTTTGCGATCTAGAGCTTCGCATTCGCACATTATGTGTTTGGCCGTTTCTGGTTTCTTGTGACATAGTCGGCACATGAGTTTCTCATTGTACATGCCAATTTTGTTCAAGTGCTCCTTTACTGGGGCGTGCCCAGTCATGAACCCTGTTATCACTTTCAACTGGTTCCTATTCATAAAGAGTAGTTTTCCAGTTCTTTTGGGACATGGTCTGCCTATGAAGGATTCTCCATATGCCTGTTTTGGGGTGCTTCCCCAATACTTTATATGTTGTTCCCGAATCCAGTCGTTTATGAAATCCCGTAATGTCATTTTTGGTACTCTTGGGTTTGTGTCTGATTCCGGTGTTTCTTTTGACCCTCTTTCTGCAAGTTCGTGAGCCTTTTCGTTGCCTTCGATTTTTTGGTGACTTGGCACCCAAAATAGTTTTACTCTATTTCGGTCTGGCAGTGTTCTTAGTTCTTCGATGCATTCCCATACCAGCCTCGACGTAACTTTCTGACTCGATATGGCCTTAAGTGCCGCTTGGATGTCTGACATTATTTGAATATGCTGATTTTCAACAGCTCTTTCATTGTTCGTTTTTGTACATTGAAAAATTGCATATACCTCGGCCTGAAATACCGAGGAATGTATTCCTATAGTATAGCTATGGTTATTGTCAGGGTTTTTGGAGAATACTCCCGCCCCAGTGCCTTCCGCAGTCTTAGACCCGTCTGTATACCAGGTTTGTTCCTGTCGTTGGGCAGTGGGCTCCCTTATGGTGATCTCCGCTTTTTACTATATTAAAAGAGTATCTCTGGGTTATGTGGTCTAATCTCATGTCTAGCACGTCTGTAACTAACCTTGAGATACTCATGTGACCTGGCCTAATGTCAAGATTTCCCAGTTTGTTCCCTAATCTGTAAGCATCTAATCTTGCCTTCCCTTGTATCACATAGTGAAGAGGTAGGAGTCCTATTAGTGCTTCCATTGCAGCAGTGGGGGTTGTTTTCATTACCTCCGTTATTCCGAGGCAGGCAAGTCTTTGTACCTTGCTTAGCCTCGTTATTGCCTTCCTTTGCTGTGTCTTTGGCCACCACACCAAAGCTGCGTATTTTATTATCGGTCTCACCACCATTTTATAAAGCCAATATACCATGTCTGGTTTTAACCCCCATTTTTTTCCAAAGGATCGCCTTGCCATCATTAATGAGGTTTCCGCTCTCCTTGTGGTTCTTTCTAGATGCTGGTTCCAGGTAAGTCTCGAGTCAATCATAACCCCGAGATATTTTACCTCCCCCTTAAGCTGGATGCTTGCACCTCTTAGGTTTAGAGGCCTTAGTCCCTCCAATTTCCTCCTGCGGGTGAATGCAATTATGTCAGATTTGTTTGGGCTAATGTATAGTCCTTCCGCCTCTATCCATTTTGTTACTATATTTAGAGCCTCTTGCATTCGATCTTTTAGTATAGTGTTGTATTTTCCCTGTGCCATGATCACTAGATCATCGGCATATCCTAGGGTTCTATGTCTCTTATCTTTGAGAGCCTTAAGCAACCCGTCCATTACAAGATTCCACAGGAGTGGAAACAGGACGTGTCATTAATAAACTTCAAAATACAACAGGAAATTTCGTCACTACCACGTTTTGCTACATGCTCTGGACACATGTACATAAATGCTTGACCTATGTTGCAGTTATGCACTCCAATATTATACAACCAAGCTTTTCTTAAATAAAAAGCTTTTCCTAGCCTCGTCTATTTCCTGTTTCATGTTAGCTTGGATTCCTTCCGCTCGTTGATGTTAGTCTGACTGGATTAACTTTGACTCCATTAAAGTCTTGTTCTGGTCGCATGTATCGCTTTTTGGAATCTTGAAGCCAATATTGGTCTTCTTTAATAGGTGCAGTACCATGCTCTGTGCACCATGGCTTATAGTGTTTCTGATAAAGGGAAGCAATTGAGAGATCATGGACAATGTACACTCGATTAGGATTACATTTCCTACTGTATACTTAGGACTGGCTTTTTTATGGTCATGTACATTCTTAATCATTTCATCAGGTAATCGATTCTTCCGATTGAAGTGCTTTCCTCGCTGGTCATATTTTGGAATTGTATTTCCTTCGCGAATTTGCTTGCATATATTGTAAATACGTGTCTTACTGTTATGTAGGTCGTGTACTGACAAAAAGTCTTCTTTGCATATTTTTTTGTCAACGCCTTGAATACACAAAAGTGACTGCTCTTAGGTAAACACTTCATTCTTCCGAACAGATATGTATTCTGCTTGTCGTACGTGCCCAAATTCCAAAATTCGTGTTTCTACTTGTTTCCTGTCCAGTTTTCATATGAATGACCCAAATTTCTTATCTTGTAAGCCTTTACTCGTCTTCTTCTTTCAATATTTTTTGTACCGCAACCTGGACTGCTCTTTCTTCTCAGGAGTTTCAGTAACCCCTGTGGATGTATCTTGCTCCTTAAATTTATTGGAAAATTATGTACGGAAGAAGGTAACAAGCCAAAAAAACTTTAAAATAACCTCAGACTGCGCTGCTAAATATTGGTACGTTATTTTTAAACATGGGGATTTTAGGGTATTTTTTTTTAACAATTTCTACCAGCAACGGAAAATAGCACGTGAATAATATAATAAAAAAAGAGACTTCGCGACTAGGTGCTAAGCTACTGTTTACCAGGAAAGCTGAAAAATTGTTGGCTTAAAACAGTGATCGCCAACCTGTCGATCGCCAGCTACCGGCAGCTCGCGGAGGCAATTCTGGTAGCTCTCACAACAATTTTAATTTAAAAAATACAAACTGCAAAAATCAGAAGCTTCCGAAAATTCCACAAAAAAATCTAATTGTCATAATATTAAACATAAACAGCGGCAACGTTGTGGTGAGCGATCTGCCGCTGACGCCATCAAGCTAGAATCGGCTAGAACCGACCAGCCGGACCAGCGCGTTAGTGTTCGAGAACGATCAGGATTGCTTTGAACGGCAAAAATACGCAGGGCGCGGCGACGTTGCCCTTAGTTTAAAACTGAACGCGTAACCAACGTCCAGCGGTTGGGTTAGTAGAGAACAACAAAAAATAATATGGCAAGCAGTTGTAAGAAGGTAAAGACATACCACTTTCATTTGGAATGGGAAGAACAATACTTTTTTACAGAAGTTAAAAATAAAAATGTGTGTTTGTTATGTAATACTTCGGTCTCCGTTGCTAAAAAAGGAAATATTGAGAGACATCATAAAACTATACATTCTAATTTCGAAAAATCATTCCCACTACATTCTGCCGCCAGAAAGGAGAAACTGAAACAGTTAAAAATTGCAGTTAATTGGACAACAATCAACATTTTTAAGAACAGTCGACAAAAGTAAGGCTGCAACTGAAGCATCGTACCGTGTGTCCCAGATAATTGCACAAAAAAAGAAACCTTATGAAGACGGGGAAATGATAAAACAGGCGTTTTTAGAAGCTGCTGATTCGTTATTTGCCAACTTTAGAAATAAAGACGAGATAGTTTCAACTATGAAATCTATGCAACTTTCTGCTAATACAGTGATGAGACGCGTAGAAGTAATGAGCATTTATATTTTTTTACAGTTAAGAACTGACTTAGATAACTGTGTCTATTTTTCACTTCAACTGGATGAATCAACAGATGTCGTTGACACTGCCCAGATGGCCGTGTTCGTCAGGATGGTTTTTAGTGATTTTACGATTAAAGAAGATCTTTTGAAGTTTATTCCACTGAAAGGACACACTACTGGACAGGAGTTGTTTTCTCATTTAAAAAATATTATTTCTTCCGGGAAAATTCCAATATCGAAAATGGTAGGCTTGACAACCGATGGCGCTACAGCTATGGTGGGTTGTGATAAGGGCCTCGTGGCGTTATGTCGTAAAGATGAAACTTTTCCGCAATTTCTCTGTTACCACTGCATTATCCATCAGCAAGCATTATGTGGAAATTTCCTGAAACTAAACAACGTTATGAAACTGGTGGTAAAAATTGTGAACAAGATTAGAGCTCAAGCGTTACAAAGAAGATTATTCAAAACCTTGGCCGATGAAGTTGACTGTCAATACGGAGACTTACTCCTTCACTCTGAAGTCCGATGGTTAAGTAGAGGACGGGTGCTGAAACGTTTTAATGATGTCCTATCTGGCATAGTTCAATTTTTCAAACAACGCGATGAACCGACTCCGGAACTAGAAAATTCAATCTGGCTTAGAGATTTTGGTTTTTTCGTGGACATTACAGAGAAATTAAACGAACTTAATTTGCAGCTTCAGAGGAGAGACAAAGAACTAGCGGAAATGATTTCTGATATCAAAGCATTTATCAAAAAGCTGAAGTTTTGGGAACAAAACCTAATTAACAGCGATGCCAAGCATTTTCCTATTCTTTCAGAAAAAATATCTCAATATCCATCAGAACCCTATGACAGCAAATATCATGTAGAAATAGTTTCTACCCTGAAGAATAACTTCAAAAATCGTTTTAAGGATTTCAACGAAATGGCTTAAGTAGCGCAGTTTGTTGTTTCACCCTTTATGGAAATTGATATCCAACAGTTTGCAACTTGTGTTATGCAGAACTTTGGCGAAGACATCGCTGCAACAGAAATGGAAGTAATTGAGTTTCAAAATGATTTAACCTTAAAATCGTTAGTCTCAAGTATCAAATGTATCTGGCCTATTGTAAGTAAAGACAAATATTCAGTTCTATGCCGGGTTGCCTTGAAAGTGAAAGCATTATTCAGTTCAACCTATTTGTGTGAATCTTCTTTTTCCAATATGAAGTTTATTAAGAAGAAATATCGCAATCGACTTACAGATGAACATTTGGATAATTGTATTCGAATGGCTGTATCAAATTATACTGCAAACATTAAAAAAATTATCGATGAGTCTGAGTGTCAGCCTTCTCATTGAACGTGCTTTTTTATTTTTCAATGTTTATGTTCAAACACCTTCGTTTGGTAGGTAGGAATGTAGCTATGAATAAGTACGTACTAGTAATATTAGATATTTTGTTATTAGTTTATTATTAGTACCTATGTATTATGTATTACCAGTTAAATAGTAAAATAAATACATATAATGATAAATTAACTATGGATTATTTCATTTACGTTGCGTTACGTGGCTTCCGTGTGGGGTAGCTCGCTGTTTATTCCAAAATTAACAAAGTAGCTCAACACATTGAGAGGTTGGCGACCACTGGCTTAAAAGGTAATAAGCCACATTACTTTTAAACTTACCAAAACTAGACTGTCTTCACTACTACTCGATTCCAAGTAATCTTTATATTTCAAACTATCATATGAGTCAAAATTCTATTGGCTAGAACTAGAACTATCATCGTTTTCAAACATTTTACGCTTAACGCGTGGTACACTTGGCGCGGCCATGCTAATTTCTATTTGGCTTGTTACTTTCTTGGGTCAGAGAAGCTCGTAAAATGAGAGTAGGTAAAAAGCATTTATTGCACAGTGTTGCCACTGCTTCTATAAAGTCGCTGAATAAAATTCTGTGACTTGTTTCCCTTTTTATGTAACTAACTACATATTTAATCTGGAATTTTAGAAATTTGGCTTGTTACTATCTTCCTCTGAGTTACAATTTTATTAGAAAATATAGAGGAAGTAGAGGATTAATTATCAGTTACTGACGGTAAAGGAACATCAATGTGTAGCACAGCTATGGATTCAAATTAAAATGAATCATTGTTTATATATTTTCGGGTTTTTTTTACAAGCCACCAAAGAAAAACAACAGTTTTTTGCGAATCTAGAAGAAAATCTTTCATTATTAATACCTTCATGTAATGACATAATATGCGGTGGTGACATAAACGTTGATCTACTCGATAGCAGTTCAACAAATTTAAAAAAATTCATTACTACCATAAAATTATTTAATTTTAAACAAATTATTAACGACCCGACGAGGGTCACCAAAAATAGTTCTACTCTATTGGATGTGATAGTCACACCTTGCCAGTTTGATCCTGTTGACAGTGGTGTAAAGGAAAATTGTCGTTTTTTTATTTTTTTTTAGAATTGTGTTCATTTATTTTCTACGGGGGTCATATTTTGATTCAGGATATCATTTTACATACAAATTAGCAGGAATGGTGTCAGGACTGTTTTTCATGCATACCAGTATTATCTACCGTAAAATACGTTTACATGACGTGGCTTGTTTAATATATTTTTTGTAACCTTCTTAAAAACTGCGTGTACTTTTTCTCAAATAAAGAGTGAATCTACTATATCCTTGATCTACAAGATACTTACTATTTATAAGAATTTCTATATCAGGATACCCCTCTACATCATCCGAAACATTTGTCCTGATATACCCAATATTGTCTATTCCAGAATTGGACGTGTACACACCTTCTCCAAATAGAAGCCAATTTGTCATGGAAAGTGGATTAAAAGCTTGTAGAATATTGTCCGTTGTTTGATTTAGAATAAACATTGACGAAACTGGAGTTATGTGATCGTAAAGAGTTTTTCCTACAGGTAGGTTTTGAATAACTGGTATTCCTGGAAATAAAAATATTATAATAGATATCAGAATCGTATGTCTTAGACTAGTTAACTGGACCTAGTTCTAGTTATTGGAAGCAATAAAAATAGACTTACCGAATTTGTTTAGTTGGTCTTCCGGCCCGATTCCACTTAGCATCAAAAGTTGAGGAGAATTGAATGTACCAGCTGATAAAATAACTTCTTTTGTAGCCCGCACGGTAACCTTTTTATTTTTGTGATAATACTCAACTCCGTATGCCGTCTTCGTTTCAGGGTCTATTAGAATTTTGGTAACTCTGGCTTGGGTTAAGATGCTCAAATTCGACCTGCTTCGAATTGGGTCCAAAAACGCCGCTTTTGCGCTGTGTCTCCTACCATTTTTCTGAGTCGATTGCATTCTTGAGAAGCCCATGTAGTCTCTTGAGTTGTAGTCTGCGCGTTTTGAACCAAGTTCGACAGCTATAAAAGAAGAAAATATTTTATTTAATAGAAATGTGCCTTTCAGTGATTATTAGTCTCACCTCCATCTATGAAGGGGTTCGATATTTTACTCTTGTAAGAATATGCAGTGCTTAAAGGACCTCCAGTGTTGTGGTATCCATTTTGACAAATATTTCCTAAGTGACAGTCTTCGGATTTTATAAAATATGGAAGAACGTCGTCGTAAGACCAGCCTGGGTTTCCTGTAGATAAAAAGTGGGTTATTAAATAACAGTCTTAACATTAGATTTATTTTTACCTAGTTCCTCCCACTTTTGGTAATCTATCGGATTGCCTCTCGTGTATATCATGTAGTTAATAGTGGTCGTCCCTCCTAAAGCTTTTCCTCTTGGCCAACTGCAGATTCCATCTTCCATGGCATTGCAAATTCCCTCCTGTTTCTCCATATT